AGGGCACTCGCATGCAACTGTATTGCTGCTACAAGAGCTTGTGCTCACAAGGTGGAATTTGTGGTTCAGTGTGGTCCACTAATATGCTGAGCATATGCAGTACTATCAGCAGTTTGGGAGCAAGGAGCTGGAAATCACGCCTGGCACACAGTGCATGCTTAAGCTTCATGATCTTCTGGAACAGGGAGATGTTCAAGATCCGGTGAAGTTTGTGGCGAAAATGCCACTGGTTCATGGAGCTTCTGACCTGGTTTGAAGGCCAGCCAGCTGTGATCCACCACACCCATAACAAACTGATGGATTTGATAAGGTGGGTCAAAGACATCACAAGAACTGTCAAGCTGTATTTATGAAAACCACTGGAGAAGGGAGCTGTTCGAGGCAATGGCTGTAAATCTGTTCCAGTACGACAGATATGACCTGGCACTGCCACTGCGGTTTAGACAACTGGTTGCCTCCTTCCTTAGTGCCATTTGCATTTTGGCCCTCAGCTAGGTGTCTGTTCTGAGTTGTGACACTCAGCTATTGAAAGCAATCTTGGGATGGCGGCAAGAGCACGACGAGGAAAATGCTGCTTACGTAAACTTTGTCAAAGAGTGCCAGATGACTATGCCAGTGCCTGCATTTTGGAACTCATTTGTGAAGTTTCCACATCAGTACGACTTGGCAAAATGCCACCTTATCATTTCAACGAACTCAGAGGATACTGAGAATGCCATTTCAGTGTATGGACAAGTGTTCACCCTACAAAGAATGTCAGCAGCAACTGCCACTGGATGCTGCATGCTAGCGTTTAACAGCTAGCAAGAATTACCTGTCTCAAGGTTAGCATTGAGTAAGCTCCTCTTTGGATGGTTTCGCAGCCATCCATCTTTACAGATTATGGTGTATGCGTGAGAGGTCACTGAGACCTTTGGTGCATATACCTATGCAGGAGTACGGAGAAGCAGAGGCTGCCATGCCCCCTTTTAGGCCACTGGGACAGAATCCAAAGGCTAGACTGAGTCCAGACATTTGGTGCCTCCACGGCTGTAGTTGTATTGTAGCAACCCCCTGCCACCCCCAGTTTGTTTTTTTTAATTTAAGAATATACTCCCTCCCCTTCCCCTAACCATTTCTGACTTTCTCTCTGCCCTCTCTATCCCTTATAAGTGATTACAAGTAGTACTAGGTAAGCTAACATAAGTTCTTGTATGCTATTATTGTAATAAGCCCCTTTTTATATTATATTATGTTCCTATTAGGTTTGTATTAATTTTTACTGTTTTATATTGAATTTATATGATTTAGACCTATGTCTGTAAAGTAATGTCAAGTAATGTCAAGTTTCCATATTGTATGTCAAGCCTCCATCTTGTGTCCTCTGCCCGGGTGTAACCTATGACTCATGCCTAACAAGTCTCACGTAAATTGGTTCCTGAATGAATGGGGATGAATGAGGGTGCTTGAGAGACAATGGCAGTAGGTCTAAAAGTAGCTTTTTCTGAATGACTGAACCATCAACTCGACAACCCAACCATCACCCTGCATTGACCGTCCCTGGCTCAAGATTTGGAAGACTAAGGCTGCTGCAGAACCCAGCCAAACCACCATTACTGACACCTGAAACTGCATGTCCTAGCCTAGAGTGCACATGCTCGGTACACCAGGGGATGACTCTTGCCTGGGCATGCCCCTGCCACTAGGGTCACAGAAGGTCTGTCCCTATAAAAGGGTGCAGTGAAGACAGCCGCAGTGGGATGCCCTATCTGGACCAGCACTATGCCACATCACCTATCCAATCAGAGGCCCTGCCAGCGACCCCCTCTGGACAACACCTTGCTGAAGAAGACCCCGACTAGCCATTGAGGATCAACTCAGCCCAGGATAGGTAGCTATCACCCACCTTCCTTCCTCAAGCAAAGGACCTGGACACTGTCCCTACACACTTTAGCTTTAATCCCTCCACCAAGCCTTTTTCTCTCCTGCTACCATTGTGTGTGTGTGTGTGTGTGTGTGTAGGAACCAATAACTTCATGGGGCTGTGTAGTGTGTTGTCTGTTTAATAAACCTGTTATTTTGAAACCCTGAGTTGGGTTTTTGTCTTATTGACTTCCTGACCCTTGTCCTTGATTTCCCAGCTATCTCCCAGCTTTCTGCCTCTCTTTCCTGGCTGTCTCCTCCTTGCCACTGGGCTTTTCCTCTTGCTTCTACCCTGGCACCAGGTGACCCTGAGTAACCCCAGGGCACATTAACCTTAAGTAGCCCCAAGCCCCAGTGACCTCAAGTAACCCTGGGGCTGCTTGACCTTAAGTAATCCCAGCTCCCCTCCAGTCTGCTGGTTCTAATCCCAGCCCTGGCACTTTCACTCTCTTATTTTTCCCTCTTTCATCTCAACCCCCATCCATCTCCCTCCTTCCCCTTCTTCTGGAAATCTTTGACCCTTGATTCCCCCTCCCATAGTCACCAAGCACCCTAGGTACCCCAAGTACCCCAAGCGTGTACACACCACACCACCCAAGTTAGGAACTCACCTGTGTGTATGTGCTTGAATTGGTGATAGGTGTGCATGTGTGGGTAATCTTGGATGTGCATGTGTGCCTAGTGTGTGTGTACGCACCTAGTGTGTGTGCACACGCCTAATTGATTTTTGTGTGTGTATATATGCAATTGTGTCACACCCTCCCTTCTAACAGCACAATTTTGAGATCCTGAGAGTTGGCCTGGCCCTACAGGACATCAGTATAAACATCCAGGAATTGAACCAAGGTCTCCTGTATGGCAGATAAAGATTCTACCACTGAACCACAGGGGACTCCAAACTCCTTTTTACAACTTCATTTAATAAAGTATAGTCATGGTATTAGTTACAATTCATGTTGTGTATAGCTTTACTTTCTTAAGACACTTCAATTTAGAATTTAATTAAATGCATCAATTAATGGCTTCCATGGGTTTAATCAGGTTAAAGCCACGGTTTCGGGCCATCTGCCAATCTGCAGGGACGGGAGGGACTGCTGGGGCCCCTCGACCACTCAGAGGCGGGGGGGGGGGCACCACGCTAAACCTGCAAATATGGCAGCCAGCCCTGTGATCCGTCTGCGAAATGAACCACCTGCCTTCTTGATTTGGGTAGATCTCTACCCATAAAAGGGCTAAATGTGAGACTAGAATTTGCCATGGCAGTTGATAAGTTTGCTTTTTTTTGTCTACACAGAGTTGTAATAGGAGAAACAACTGGAAATACCAGCATACCAAGATTAGGGAAATTACCTGAAAGAGCTCAAAACATTTAAAATCAGGAACTGACTTGAAACGCTGGCTTTCTTTCACTAAAGAAAGAATTCCATGGTGTGTGACAAGGGAGGAGGGAAGAGGTGTATGCATATCTACAGGAGTCAGCACATGTCTACAACCAGATCTTTTCTGCATGTTATAGGGGTGATCAGGATAACATGGCTGTCACAGATCTGGGTGAGCACCTCCACTTTGGTCAGCTACCAAACAGCTGTGTTGGGTCCCAATCCACCAGGATCACTGTGCTTTAAGCTTCTAGAATGTTTGGGGTCTGTAGGCACACTAAAGTGGGAGACCTTCTATGTAGCACCCATCCTAACAGACAAACAGTCCACACTGCCTAGGATAGTGAAAGTGTATGGATTTTGGGAGAGATCTCTACAAGACTGGTTAATTCAAATGGATGGCATTTATGCCTTACCAATTTTGATGGGTTAAATACCATCCACAACAATCTCTCACACTGTAATCTTGATGAAGATGATGGCAAAAGTGTGGGCAAGGATCAGGGATCTTGAAACTAGGCAAGAATTCTTCTGCAGGACAATGAAAGGTGATGCAGCTATCTTTCATCAAATAGGCAGAAATTTCGGAGTAAAGCAATTTTTTTTGGATAAAATATTTGCTCAATAATTTGTACTGACATAGTTTGAAGGAGAAGATGTAACAGTTCGGTAGGTCAGATAAGATTCTTAGGCAATTCCTCCCTTTTGATTTTCTTTCTTGCTCTTCCAATGATTTCGTGTTGACCTTTACCTTCCCCTATTTTCTCCTCCCTTGTGCAGTTCAAATGCATGCATGCTTATAGGTAGCACATTCTTTGAATAGAATACACCATTATATTTATTGTTTCCTTCTTAAAGGGTCAATTCAGGGTTGCACTGTAATTTAATACACACCGGAGAATTCTCACTTGCGAGTTCAAGTTGTTTACATAGATATTCAGGTTAGGTCAGCTTTTAACCTTTGGTTATATTTCAGCAGATTTGTATTAAGCTATTAAGTTTGAATGCTTTCAATATTTTGGTAATATTTTATACTGAATTATATATCTAATAATAATAGTTCAGCAATGCCAAGTAAATATCAGCACTATTAAATGTCTATCTCTTGATCTCTGTGGGTTAGTGTGCTTTTAAAATTTGCCCTACGTGAAAGGGTATGTTTATACATGTTCCTTTGGGTGTGAGCTGTGGATGTAAACTACAATTTACTACTCTTTTGATAGGTCAGTTGTCATAGAATGTATGAAGAAGTCACTCTTCAGAACGATTGCAGTGTGAAAAGGAAAGCTCTACTTCCATTAGCTCTGAATAGGGAGCAGGCAGCGATGGAAGCTGGCCCTAAACCCTTACTTGAGTAAGGGACTAGGGGGAAATCCTACCTCCTGACTTACTATGTAAGCAGCTGTAGAAGGCATGGGAGACGTGACTTCTGCTAGAACACAGAAACTGAGACTCTGAGATTGGGCAGGGGCCCAGATATATCCTAGGTGGATTAGCTTGCTCTACACTGCATTTGAGGATCACTCAAATCTAAAGGGGAGGAGAACCCTGATGACGACTGAAGGACTCACAGGAAGGGGACCCAATTGTTGATCAAAATGATTGTGACCGAACAGGAATAGTGATTGTTGTAGTGTCATAGCTATGATGGCCCAAGGAATACAGAAGAAACAAGATTTGTTTAGTAGTATCTTTTATTGGACCACCTATACAGTTGGGACAGATAAGCTTCTAGGCATGCAATGCACTTCTACACATCTAGGAAAGACGCAGCCTAAATACCAGGTAGAACAATTACTTTTGTTTAAACTCATAACATAAATGTAAATGATCATCTGAATAGGAAAAAAGGGCAGTAAACCTGTGGAGCAAAGAGAAGTTAACAATTATCCAAGTAAAGAATAGTTCACATACATAAACTTAATTAGGTAAACAAATAAAACCATTCAAAAGGTAAGAGGGTTTTTAACTATATGTGGAATATGTGGTGGGATATGTCCCACCACAGCTGATCCACTTTATTGGAAGAAACACACATGACATCGCCCCTTGTCCTACATCAGAAACGGGCCCAACAAGGGCCCAGAGGCAAAGGGCCTTGCCAAGAGATGTCCTACCTCTCTTGCTGCTCTGTGCACCTTTGTTGGGGCCAGTGTTGACCCATCTCTCTGGGTGAAGTCTGTGTCAGCACAGGTCATGGAAATGAGGTGTGGGGCAGAGCAAGAGGTTGGAATTTAGAAGCCATTCTGAGCAAAGGGCAGCCTTGCCACATAGACTGTGGGCTGTGGTAGTAGCTGAATGTGAGCCTCTTGTGCCTCACTGCAGAAAAAAAAAGGATTCCATCCCCTCAGTTCTCCTCCCACATACTATTTCTAACTGTCTTTATTATGCTAGTCTTTCCTCCTTTCTGTTGTTTCTTTAACTCTCCAGTCTTTATTCCTCTTCCTTCTCACTCACCTGAGAGGTCCCTCTGCTGTCCCACTCTGTAGAAGCTTCTTGCAGAGCACTCCCTCACATTAGCTTATAGTGGAGATGTCCCAGTGCTTTTCTTAGGATTTAGCATGGTTGACTGTAAATATATTATATTTTAATTAATAATAAAAGACTATACATCTGTGAAAGCATAGTATTAAAAACAAACATTCTTACAGGTTTATGAATGTCTTTCTTATCTGTCCCAGGCAAGATTAATCTATTTGCTGAGACTTGCTTTGTTGTTTGCCTTTTGCAAATACTCTAATGAAAAAGTTTACTGGGATACATACTTGCTGGAAGGACTGACTGTATGAATCATGGAGAACAGCTGAAGAAAATTTAAATTTGAATTTCTAAACATGAGATATTATCCCCAAAACTGATTGTATGGATTAGATTTATTCAGTCAGGGAACAAAAATATGGTCCTTCTGTCCAATCAAAAGAGTTCCAGTTCATATGTTTTCAGTAAGTAAATATTAGCACTAATCAGAAAATGGCAGTTATTTTCTGTAGAAAAAAATGAAAAAGCAATGAAAATACTGGATTTTTTAAAATTCTGGTATACATTTTTTGGTTCTTTGACAACTAGAAAATTATATTTTTAAAATACAAAAAAATAGTTTTGAAGGAAAAATAATGGTTTATTGCTGTTTGAAAACTGATATTCTGGTAATATGGGGGAGGGAAGAGAGACTTTGAAACCTTACTGGTTTTCATGTTTTGGTTTTCAACTGAGAAAACATTTTTAAAATTCAAACACATTTTTGAAGAATATTTTCACTAGAAGAAAAAAGTGCTGATGAGAATTTTCAATCAGCTAGACCACATAAAATAGGCTTACTAAAAGAATCTGTACATTGACCAGTACTCATAGAGCTAAAAGTCACGGGAGACATGCAAAAAAAGGCCCAGGAGAAGTAGGCATGGTTGTCCTTTGTTTCTGTGTGAAAGTTTTAAGAAAGATTCAAGTTCTACTAAAGACTCAGAATTAGTCTCAGAAAAAAGCAAGTGCATGTGAAAAATATCCCAATTTTTTAGCAGACAATGTACAAACAGAAAGAGGTGAAATTTATCAGATAAGCTACTTATTATAAATGCTATTCTTACTCCCAACCTGAAAATTTTTACTCACAGAAATGGCTTTACCCATGCAGAATTCCACTGTTTAGCTTCCTTACTTAAAATGTTATTTACTAAGGGTTAGTCCCATCCCTGTCCACCAACAGTTCTTTACCAGACTTTTAAGTTTCTGCATGGAAAAGCTCAGTGAAAAGATCACAGAAAACATCACAACACTACAAAAGCTGAACATTAGTAGTTGTCTAGGTTAAGGTCAATAAAGAGGCAGGGAATAGAAGCTCCTATTTCAGCGCTTAGTACAATACCTGCTCTGTAGGTAAACAGGAGTCTTTAGTTTAACAGCAGTGTCAGACCCTTAACTTTGACATACACACATATTTAATTATTAAATTTAAAAGTAAAGACATTTCCTAAGAATAGCTTTCACAAAAGGAGTACACTAAGATTTCCTTTGCTTTTTTATTTAAATTAATAATGTGAAAGAGAAGGCTGAGGTAATCATTTCACTCAAATGAAGTAAAACAAAGGAACCTCTATTTCACTGATATACCAAAGGCTGTTCAGAGACCCCCACCAATTGTTCATCTCAAACTATTGAATCAAACCAAGCCAAAAATTACTCTAATCACGAACAGCTACATTGTGTTTGGTCCTTGTGTGGCGGATGTAGTTAGCTTTCCACCCACCACTAAATGGTTCCTGTGAAAGCCAGCACCAAAGGGAGGCTCTGCTCCATCCCTAGACCCCCAGGGATGCCATCTACCTCAAAGGCAGAGAGAAGGATTAGGGAAGGGATGAGCAACCCCCGGCACGTGTGCAGAGCATGGCATGTGAGGCCATTTTGCTCAGCACGCCACAGCCAGCCCTGGCTCTGGGTAGCTGCTGCCAACAACGGAGCCTGGGCTGCTCCCAGCAGGGCTTACAGTGTCCCAGCTGCCTGCTGGGAGTAGCCCAGGCTCCCCG